CCAATTTCAGCCCAGCAGCCGGGAACATTACTCTCTTACAGCCACAGGGACAGTGTATGTTACAGCATGTGGCCACCTTCCCCTGCTCCTCACTGCTCCTCACAGGGGTCAGATTTAGCAGGTTAGGGTCAGCAGGGGTCAGGGTCAGCTGGGGTCAGGGTTAGCAGGGGTCAGGGTCAGCAGGGGTCAGGGTCAGGGTTAGCAGGGGTCAGGGTCAGCAGGGGTCAGGGTCAGCTGGGGTTAGGGTTAGCAGAGGTCAGGGTTAGCAGGGGTCAGGGTCAACAGGGGTCAGGGTCAGCTGGGGTTAGGGTTAGCAGAGGTCAGGGTTAGGACTGGACATGAATGAACAGTCACAGACTGGTCACTTAAGAAGAACAAAAGCTCTAGTGTTGCTGACAGTTAGAATGGTCTGCCTGAATGTCTGTACTTCTTAAAATGATTCTATCAGAACTACAAAAAAAAGAAAAATGTCAGAGCTGGCGACTGCCTGCCAGCTGCTTGGCCGCCATGACACTGGCTCCCCAAGGGGCAGCAGCCCGATGGACAGGAGGCACTGCTGCGGCCAGCGGGGCATCCGCAGAGAAGGCAACGCAGGGGCTGCACCACCTCCGAGCCTGGGAGGCTGAGCTGAGGAACTCTAGGATGACCAAGAGGGAACGGGAAGCTGGGAAAATCAACCATGAGGTCAAGGCAGAGCAAGTGATCCAAGGTTCCCATGGCAATGCATGAAGACACTCTCTTCCCAGCTGAAGGCAGAAAAGCAGAGGGCTGGCAGCAAAGCCCAGATAAGCTGTGGTCGCAACCCCAGGGAGGGTTCTGTTGAGCCCTGAAATGGGGTAGCGATTTTTAAACCTCAACATGAAGTGTCCTCCTGGCCATGTTGCACTGCAGCATGTGGAGAATGTTCCAGAAACAACAGGTGTTGTCCAAGGTCTGGTGACAACTCCCATGCACCTTCACTGCAGAGCTCGTGCATGGTCTTGTGGTCTTGGTGATGAGAGCACACAGGGAAGATGAAGGGGAAGTTTCTGGAATTACTCTCTCCCTGCCTTCCTCCACCCCAGCCAAGATGATGAATCAAATCAGTATCACAGACCTCAGCAAGATGAGGGACCAAGAGACCCCACTCAGCCCTCCCTGGACAAAAACAGCCGTTTAACAATAACCTTCAAACAAATAGCTTTGGGAGTGAGTGGGGTTCAATTAAGAAGCTGAGTATCCTAATGGAGGGCACAGAGAGGCTGGCCCCAGAGAAAAAGAAAGGACCTATTTCACCCCCCATCGTGCCCTGGGCCATGCAGATCAATGATGAGGGACCCCCGCCTGTGAGTCCTCCAGTGGCATAAAGAACAGGGTGACCTGGAGCCTTCACAACTGAGCACCCAGCACCCAGCACCCAGCCGCTGAGGACCAGGATTCGGGTCCCTATGGAATGCCAGACATGGCCAGCATGGACCTGCTGCCAGAGGCCACAGAGGCATGCCGCATGTCTCCCTGGAATGGAGCCTGTACCCCCCAGAGCTGCACCACTGAAGCCCCCGAGACCTGGTGCATGCTCACCCTGGACCCAGCACCACTCCTGTGCATGCCCCCCACCCAGAGGGACAGGAAGCTTACTTAGAGAAACAATGCCCCAATGCCCCAGGCCCAGAGAAGGCAATAGACATCAGGATTCAAGAGGCCCAAAGAACCCCACAGACAGAATGTGAAGAGCTCCACATTGAGATGTATTATAATTAAATTTTCAAAAGTCAAAAACAGAGAATTTTTAAAGCAGCAAGAGAAAAGAAATCTGTTACAATTCCCGGCAAGCCAGGAGAGAGTGGGACAATTTACTAAAGCACTGAAAGAAAACTGCCAACAAAGAATAATATACCTGGCAAAATGATCCTTAAAACAATGAAAAAGCGACAATGGGTTTTTCTAAACCAATAAAACCTGAGGGAGTTCATCACCACTAGACCTACTTTAGAAAAACTGCTAAAGGGATTCCTTCAAATTGAAACAAAAACATGCTAAATAGCAAAGTGAAAGCATGTGAAAACAAAACTCTCACTTCTAAAGGTAAATATTAATATATAGTCAAATACAAAATAAAGCAACACTGTACTGCGGCATATAAATTTCTTATAACCCTAATATAAAAGTTAAAAGATGAAATATTAAGAATAACTATAACCACATAGAAAAGTTAATGGGTACATGTTATAAAACGAAGTAAACTTTGCACGTACACAAAGGGGAAGGGAGGAGGAGGCGGAGGGTTAGCGTGTGATTGAAGTTCAGTTGTTAACAACGTAAGCAGACAGATCACAGTTGTTAACAACGTAAGCAGCACAGGATACTTCATGCAGTCCTCATGGTGCCAACAAAGAAGAACATGTAATATATCCAAAAGAAAACAGCAAAGCCACCCATCTCCAAAACATCATTGAAGTAACAAAGACAGACAAGAGAGGAGGAGACATACAACTTCACGGCAAACAGAGAACAATCAACCAAATAGCAATAGTGAGCCCTCATTTATCAATGATTCCTTTAAGTTTAAGTGGATTAAACTCCCCAATCTAAAAAAAAACACAAAGAAAAACAGAGTGGCTAAATGGATTTTATTAAAAAGAACCTGTGATATGCTGTCTATAAGAGATTCTGTTTCAATATAGGGACATCCATGATAACAGAAATAATAAATGAATTCAGTAAAGTTTCAGTTTTCACAGCAAAAGAAACAACAAATGAAAAGGCAACCCATATAAGGAAGATAACCAAATGTCAGGTGAAAGTTTAATATCAAAATAATATAAAGAACTCATACAACTCAATAACAAAAAATCCAATTAAAAAGTGGACAGAAGAGCTAAACAGACATTCTCCATAGAAGATAGCCAACAGTGCTCTGAGAAGATACTAAATATTACTAATCAGAGAAATGCAAATCAAAACCACAATGAGAGCCTGTTTCACCTGCTAGATGGCCATCTTCTACAGGTAAGTAGTGTTTGTGGGGATGTGGAGAAAAGGAGCCCTGTGTACTGCTGATGGAAGTGGTATGGTGACTCCTCAAAAACTAAAACCATACTCCCACATGACCCAGCAATTCCACTCCGGAGAGCATATCCAAAGGACCTGAAAACAGGCCCTCCAAGAGAGAGCCAACTCCATTTTTGGCAGCATTATTCACAATAGCCATAATACAGAAACAACTTAAGCATCTCCCAGGGGACAGATGAAGAAAGTAGATGTGGCTATGTAGACATAGCATATCATCCAGCTGTGAAACAGAAGGAATTCTTGCCATTTGCAACTACATGGGTGGACCTCAGTGCGGTGAGTCAAATGGAGAGAGACATATAATCAATGTGGAATTCAGCTCTCACACTTGTGGACTTTGAAACCTGATTATATGCCATGTCATCAAGGCATCTGAATAAATTTAGTCACTACAGAATAAATTTAGGTAAAAACAGAGTGTACATGGGGCTGGAGCTGAAGGAAAGAGAGATATATAAAATACAAACTTGCTGCTTGTAGACAAATAAATGCTGGAGATCTAACGCACAACACAGGGACTATAACCAGCAATATTATCACTAAATCTTCATTGTTCTTACCACAAACATTAAATAACAATCATGTGACATGAGACAGGGATTAGCTAATACTACAGTGGTAAACCTATTGCAATTAATAAATGCATCAGTAAATGTATCATATATCTTCAACTTCACAGTATTACATGTCAGTTAGATCTCAAAAATTTGTAATTTATAAAAATAAAAAACTATAAATGTCCATACTACCAAAAGTGATGTGAAGAGTCAATGTAATCCCTATCAAAATATCAGCAATGTTATTTCAGTAATAGAAGAAAACACTGCTAAAATCATAGGGAAGCACAGAAGACCCTGCCTAGCCAAAGCCATCTTGAGAAAGAACAACGCTGGAGACATTACACTTCCTGATCTCCAGCTACAATCATGGCGCTTCATGATGGAGAGGTGAGTCCTCAGACGACTGTGTCTTTGCGGGAGGGTCATGGAGCACTCTCACGGAGACCTGATGGGCAGCCCCCGGAGCCAGGGGCAGGGCTGTGTGGTCCCCGGCGCTAACTGATTTTGCTGTTGCTGGCTCCTTTGGCTCTTTTCTGCCCCAAATCCAACACTGGCTCTCTTAGCCACAGCCAGGCTAGCCGGACCAGACCCCAGCTGAGTGTGTGGAGACGCAGGACGATCCTAGGGGTGCATGCTGACAGCTGGCAGTCCTGGAATATGACCTATAAGAGGTTTTCTTCAAGCCTTGAGGATTGTGACAGGCCTTGGCCTCACTCTTGAGATGAACAAGCGAAGCACACAGTCCTAACATGATTTAAAAGGCCTCCATGGTCACCTGCCCACTGCTCAGGTCACCTGTTCCCTGTCCCTCACTCCCATGGTCCTCCCTCCTCCTCACCCCCATGGCTCTCCCTCCTCACCCCCATGCCCTCCTCCCTCCTCACCCCCATAGCCCCCTTCCTCCTCACCCCCATGCCCTCCTCCCTCCTCACCCCCACGGCCTCCTCCCTCCTCACCCCCATGCCCTCCTCCCTCCTCACCCCCATGCCCTCCTCCCTCCTCACCCTCATGCCCTCCTCCCTCCTCCTCACCCCCATGGCCCCTCCCTCCTCACCCCCATGGCCTCCTCCCTCCTCACCCCCATGCCCTCCTCCCTCCTCACCCCCATGGCCTCCTCCCTCCTCCTCACCCCCATGCCTCCTCCCTCCTCACCGGGCCAGCCACACCCGCCTTGTCTCCATCAGTTACACCTGAGCCCTTCTAGGGGACGTATGTGGTTGTCGGCTTCTCTCATCAATTTTTTAACAAATGTCAAGTTAGATATAATTAACTTCATTTTTATTTTTAAAAGACACATGATCTTAAACACTCCGGGCCCCCAGAGCAGGGGCTGCGGGGGGGACGCTGTGGAGGGGACGCTGCGGGGTGGGCGCGGGGGGGCGGTCTTACCCGGGTGCCGCAGGGCTTGGCCGGCCGCTCGGAGCCGGGGTGCAGGTCCTGGCCGCACACGTAGCTGTGGAAGCTCTGCGGCACGAAGGCGGCCTGCGAGCCTTCCTCGTCGATGAGGCTCTTGTACAGCGGCGTCTGCGCCCGCACCACGCCGCGCAGGACCACGTAGAAGCCGTCGCTGCCGACCACTGCAAGGAGCCAGGAGGGGGGCTCAGGGGCCGCACTCAGGACCCCCCACCTCCCCCCTCCACACAAATACACACACACACACACACACACACACACACACACACACACACACACACACCATCCCCGAGGCCGGGAGGAGGGGGACCTCAAACAAAGTGGGGCCCTCAGAGCCCCCGCAGGGAGCCCCGCCTGCTGTGTGCGGACCGAGCACCAGGTCAACGCCACCGTCTCCAGGAGGGGTTCGGGGGGCTCCCCAGTGTCCTCTCCGCCGGGGACCGCACCGGGCCCCCCCTCCTGAAGGCCGGGACCCCGCGCTCAGGCTCTGCTGAGGCCCGGGCTGCAAGGGACCTGGGCGGGATGTGCTGGATCCGCTGTGTCCGCGCCCTGAGCCGGCCCGCCTGCCTCCTCCGCGGGTCTAAGTCCGGCTCAGGAGCGAGCAGAGCAGCTGGCCGGGCCGGGCGGGGCTGGGCTGGCGGGCTGCAGGTACAGGGAGGCTTGGGCTGCACCTTTGTCAGGACTCATCAAGCACCTGGTTCCAGCTCCAGCATGGACACGCCCAAGTCTCCACCAGCTCACAGCGGAGGGCTGGCGGCCCTCAGGCCCGGGACCTGCCCCCAGCAAGGGGGACAGCACCCAGGGCTGGAAGGAGCAGGAGGCGCCGTGGGAAGCTGCCACCAGGAGACTGGCTCTGACATCCCTGAGGGGTCCTGGATTGAGCGAGGGCACAGGCCATGTCGAAGTACTCCACCAGTGCACGATTGGGGCTGGGGGTCAATAGGAGAGCCCCAGGGTGTGTCCGGCCCATCTCGTCCAGTCCTAATTGACTGGACCCCAGCAGCAAGCTCACCTACGGGTCAGAGCATCTTCCCCCTGGTGGTCAGTGCATACCATAGTGAGCAGTTGAGTGATCTTAGCATATCATTAGCATATTATTCTTTGATTGGTTGAATGGCCACTGGACAACCTGACACTTAGCATATTGGTTTTTTATTATATAGGATTAATAACACAAGATAAAATAAGCTTTTGAAATCTAAGTAATGTGAAGAAACATAGAGTATAGATGCCTTAGTCAAATTTTCAAAGTACACAAAATCATGTAACTTTTAGAAAAGAGAATACTCTAAGCATCTAAGAAAAAAGTATGTATATAAAAAACTAATATGCTAAGTATCCCATCAAGTGTTCCACCGAGAGAATCAGAATTTAATCACTCACTATGAAGTGTGCTGACCACCAGGGGGCAGCTCAGAACATGCAGATGACCAGCAGTGGCAGCAGGGCACCGAGGAGGTGAGGAAAGGGGGAGGTAGGGAGGCAGGGCGGTCGGGGCGGTGGGGACGTGGGGAACCTGATCAGCCCTGCTCGCCAGCCAGGCCTAGGGACCTTACCTGTGCATGAATTTCATGCACCCAGTCTCTAGTCTGACTATAAGAATTAAACAATACAGATCAAAATGGCATTAAATCTTCATCTCCAGACTTTATAAAAGAATCGATAAAATCATGTTGTTTACCAGTATATTTCATTAAATTACTTGTCTAGCCAACCTCTGACATGAAAAGGCAAAAAAAAATCTTTCCATAAGATTTGAAGGAATTTCCTAGTGGAGGACCTTGTGTCCTACCTAATAAAAGAGTAATATGCAAATTAACCATCACCCTGCTACACCCACAAGCCATGCGCACCAGCCACACCCACCAGCCAATCATAGTAAATATGCAAATAAACCCAACCAAGATGTCTACAGCCACAGAGAGCAGGAGGAAGGCTTGGGTTTCTCAGGCAACAGAGAAAGCCAAGCTTTCCACCTGCCCTTACCAGGCTAAGCCTCCACTCAAGGCTACAAAGTTTCAATTATAGAAGGTAAACAAATCCAAACAGAAATATCTGCAGGTCCCAGAAAGAGCAGGAGGCTTGGTTCTGCTCCAAGCTACAAGGTTTCAATTGTAGAAAGTAAACATATCCCAGATACCAGGGCTTCCACTTGGGTTGCTGGGGGCATGGCCAGCCTGCAAACTACCACAGGCCCCTCGCTCAGGCCCCCCCACCATGCCCCAAGGGAACCCCCACCCTGATCCGAGATACCTTTCAAGGCAAACCAGCTGGCCCCCACCCTTTATCCTATCTAATAAAAGAGTAATATGCAGATTGACCATCACTCCAACACACAATAGCTGCCCCCACGTGGTCAAAGGTGGCTGCCCCCATGTGGACAAAAGATGGCCACCACAAGATGGCCAGGAGGGGAGGGCAGTTGGGAGGCACCAGGCCTATAAGGAAGGGCAGTTGGAGGCAATCAACCCTGCAGGGGAGGACAGTTAGGAGTGACCAGGCTGGCAGAGGAGGGAAGTTCCCAAAACAGGCTGGCAGGGGAGCAGTTAGACATCAATCAGGCTGGCATGGGAATGGTTAGGGGATAATCAGGCTGGCAGGCAGAAGCATTTAGAGGCAATCAAGAAGGCAAGCAGGAGAGCAGTTGGGAGCCAGCAGTCCTGGATTGTGACAGGAATGTCCTAAACCAGAAGTCGGACATCCTTGAAGTTTCCCAGATTGGAGAGGGTGCAGGCTGGGCTGAGGGACACACACCCCCACCCCCAGCCACATGCACAAATTTCGTGCACCAGGCTTCTAGTTTAAAAAAAAAATTTACCACATTTGTATCAGGTGAACAGAAACATTCAAAAGGAAACAATAATACTAATAATGGAAGGTTTAATGAATCGCTTTGATTATGACTTTCAAAAGGTGAGAGGCCAAACATAAAGTTAGATTAAAGCAAACGTGTGTGAATTCCCTGCTAAGGGTCTACACAGGACCCTCAGCTGAAATCAACCATTCTAAAAGGTCTTTAATGTTTTCAGTGGCTACAGTTGAACCAGGTCATGTGGTCACATGGTTGGGTTTATATGTGTATATTACTGAGCATCAGTGTCTCTCCCTACAGGAAGCCTCTCCTGCTCTCCGGCCTCTCACCATCCTGACCACCTCCCCTCACCTCCCCTCCCGGGCCGTCCCTGCAGGACTTCTGTCTGGGGCTCTCTCTGGTTTTCAGTTTCTGCCTGGTGACCACAACCTCCTGGGATGGAAGGGCCTCTCACGGGCCCTCAGTATCTCCAGTGCTTGGCATGCCACCTGAATTGCTGTAGGCACCTAGCAAATGCTGGAATGAATGAAACCTTCATTAATGATCCTGTTGTCTTTCTCTCCAAAGAATCTCATAAAACATTTGGGGGGAAAACTCATTTTCTTCTCTTAGAATTCTGTCCTCTGAGAAATGAAATAAAGCTCCCTGATGGCCTATTTTCTACTCAGTGCTTTAGGTTGGAGCTTAGGAAAATAGCAGAAAGTTATATAAATTTTAAGACGGTGGTTTAATTCATGGAATCCCCATTTAAAGCCATAAATGGCCCCAAAGGTAACATAACAAAAGCAATGTGTAAGTGGCCTTTGCATAGCTTCTGTGGTATTAAAATATCTTTGGAGGTGGGGTTTGTTCTTAGGGCAATTTTTCCTCTCTTGATACTAGAAATAATTATTTTAAGACACAAGTCTAATAACCTTATTTGGAGTATTTTTATAATGTGTGGAAGATAAGGTGTAAATAAAACTGGATATTTGTTTTAATATTTTTAAAAAACACACAAATAAATAAATATTAGCTAGCTCAGAGCTAAGCAGAAGAAAAAATAAGAAATTTATTTCACCTTATTTTAGGATTGGACTTTCCATTGGAATAGCCTCTGAATATTGATACTTTCTGTCAAATATTTCTAGAGATTTCAAAAAGATAGAAATTTTAACTTTACAAATTATTGACTATTATTTTTAATAACCTTATAACCTATCCTATATGATAAAAGCCTAGGCGGCATCACGTGACATCATCATAAGATGGCTGCCATGACATCATCACAAGATGGCCACCCCCATATAGTCACAAGATGTTCACCACAAGATGGCTGGCAGAGGAAGACAGTTGGGGGTGATCAGGCCAGCAGAGGAGCAGCTAGGCATCAACCAGGCAGGCAGGCAGGCAGGAGGCGAGCAGTTAGGAGCCAACAGTCCCAGATTGTGAGAGGTATGTGGAATCGGGCTCAAACATCCCCTAAGAGATCCCAGGTTGGAGAGGGTGCAGGCTGAGCTGAGGGACCTAGTTACTTCATAATCTTTTTACTTAGTCCTTCTCACTAAGAAAAAAACACTAAGAAAATTTCTTATTTAAAAATTGTTTGTTCACATGGGGATTAAGGTAGAGGCCTTCGTTTTTTGGTTTTTTGGTTTTCAGTAAAGGATATAATTCATTCATTTAGATTCTATCTTGTTATCTGAGAGTTTTAATAAGTAAGCTTACAAAAATACATACAACATTGCTTTAAAAGTTAAAGATGAGCCGAAACCGGTTTGGCTCAGTAGGTAGAGCGTTGGCTTGTGGACTGAAAGGTCCCAGGTTCGATTCCAATCAAGAGCATGTACCTTGGTTGCAGGCACATCCCCAGTGGGGGGTGTGCAAGAGGCAGCTGATCAATGATTCTCTCTCATCGATGTTTCTAACTCTCTATCCCTCTCTCTTCCTCTCTGTGAAAAAATCAATAAAATTAAAAAAAAAAGGCCACTAGGGCCCCTGTTTAAAAGTTAAAGATGAAATAGAATGAAGGAAAAACGTGTGAGAAAAAAGATAAAGGCAAGAACAAATTAAAAAACAAATTGTATGAAATCTTACATATTTGCCAGGAGATAGTACTGAGTAAGCAGACAGTTTTTGCCCCATTTGTCTTACTTTTAAAACATGTTCATGTCACATAGTTTTTAAAGGCCTATAAAATGTCTCTAAACTATTTCACATGCAATACAAAATGAGAAATATGATTGGTTATGTGATTTATCAATGATAAGAGAATTTTTAAATATAACTTGCCTAAAGTCTCAAAATCACTGAATATATTTCTCCCAGAAGTTCTTAAAAAAGAAAATAATGTTATCTAAGTACAACTAAACTTTTCACAAAGCACATTATTAAAATACAGGGGCCTGACAGACTATTTCTAAGGACTTAATAATAATTTCTATGTGAGAGGGTGGGAAACAGACCCCTTGGGGCAGCAGTGTGGTGGAGGGACCACAGGTTTGACTCCTTCAGTGGCAAGAGCACATTATTTGAATTCACATACACAGAAGTGATGCCCACTACATTTTTTTCATGATATTTACTTACTGTGTTTATACAATATGTTAAATGAAATTTAAACCATAACAGACAATTAAGTCTGAGCAGGTTAAGAAAATGTTAAAAATTTAGTAATATAAAAAAGATTCTGAGCATCTTACCTAATAATAGACAAACATGTAAATTGACTGTACCTTCGCTACACCCATAGCCAATCAGAGTGACATTTGTCCAGGAAGAAAAGTTCATATTTTAATAGTTAATCACCTGAGTCAGTAAGATGCCATCAGAATATTTGCTTCTACTTATAATTTTAAAACCTTTGTGAAAAAAATAAGTGTGTAGTTTCAAACACTGACTCATAGATATATAGTCACTACAGAAAATTCAACACAAAGATAATGGGGAAGAGAGAGGTCATTACTCCCAGGCACTGTCCTTCAATTCCTTTCTCCTTCACCAGGGTAACAACTTCCAAAATAGGCGTTTTGGAATTGTCCTTCAGGAGCTATCCCTGTGGGTTTTGCAAGTGTTTTTATATCTACTACAGGCCCAGTGCACAAAATTTGTGCACTGGGGAGGAAGGTGTCCCTCAGCCCAGCTTGCATCCTCTCCAGTCTGGGACCCCTCGAGGGATTTCTGACTGCCCATTTAGGCCCCATCCCACCTGAGGGGTGTCCCACAGGTGGGATCAGACATCCCTCTCACAATCCAGGACTGCTGGCTCCCAACTGCTCACCTGCCTGCCTTCCTGATTGCCCCTAACCACTTCTGCCTACCAGCCTGATCACCCCCTAACCACTCCCATCCCAGCCTGACTGATGTCTAACTGCTCCCCTGCCAGTCTGTTTGCCTCCAACTTCCCTCCTCTGCCAGCCTGACCATCCCCTAATTGTCCTCCCCTGCAGAGTTGATTGCCTCCAACTGCCCTACCTTTCTGACCTGGTCCCTCTCAACTGCCCTGCCCTGCTGGCCATCTTGTGGTGGCCATCTTGTGTCCACATGGAGGCAGGATCTTTGGCCACATGAGGGCAGCCAGCTTGTGTGTTGGAGTGATGGTCAATCTACATATTACTCTTTTATTAGATAGGATAGAGGCCTGGTGCATGGGTGGGGGCCAGCTGGTTTGCCCTGAAGGGTGTCCCAGATCAGGGTGGGGGTTCCCTTGGGGTGTGGGGCATCCTGAGCGAGGGGACTGTGGTGGTTTTCAGGCAGGCAACACCCCCTGGTGACCCAAGCAGAGGCCCTAGTATCTGGAAATTATTTACCTTCTACAATTGAAATTTTGTAGCCTGGAGCAGAGCCAAACCTCCTGCTTGCTCAGTGGCAGCAGCCATTTCTGTTGGGTTCATGTATTTTCTTTAATTAAAACTTTGTAGCCTTGAGTGGAGGCCTCAGCCAGCCAGGGTGTGTGGAAAGCTTGGCTTCTGTTGTGGGGGAAACCCAAGCCTTTCTCAACTGTTCTCTGTGGCTGCAGCCATCATGGCTGGGGTTTATTTGCATACTCATTCTGATTGGCTGGTGGGCGTGGCTTGAGTGGAGTAATTGTTAATTTGCATATTATTCTTTTCTAAGGTAGGAAAATAAAAGCAAAATATGCTAATTAGCCAGGGGAAGGAAAGCCTACTCTTGCATGAATTTCATGCATCAGGCCTCTAGTTTATATATCATTTCAGTTATTTATGAAAGTATACATGTAATCATATTACTTACTAATGCTACCATTGTTCTGTTTGTTGGTGTGGGGGGTTTGGCTTTGTTTGCTGTCTTTAATAAGCCGCATATCAATATATGCAGATTCTCTTCAACCACAGCCTAGCAATGAAGAACCATCAGGGAAAGCTCTCAAAATATGTCCTGTTTCCAGCAGACACACATTCTCTGAAGCTACAGTTAGACCTTCAGTGTGGGCACCCTGAGGAACCACTTGCTCAGACTAGCAGCACGACAGTCTACAACTTCGGTAAAGTGTGTTTGAACTCCACTCGAACCAGGAAACACGCATGATGCTTTGTGCCTTAGGGTCTCAGGAGCCCATCAGTGATGAGTGAATAAAAAAATCTGAGTGAATAAAAAAATCTGTGTACATTTATGCCATGGAACACTATGCAGCTGCAAAAAGGAAGGCTCTCTTATCTTAGAGACAGCATGGAGGGACCATTATTCTGAGTGAAATAAGGCTGTCAGAGAAAGACAAGAATCACATGATCTCACTCATATGTGGAATTTAATGAACAAAATAAACCAACAAACAAAATAGAAATAGACTCAGAGTAGACTGACAGCTGTCAGAAAGGAGTGGGGCTTATGAGGATGGGTACAAAAGGTGAAGGGATTAAGAAAAAAAAAACCCTCAAAGACACAGACAACAATATGGTGATTACTAGAGGAATGGGGGGTGGGTAGGTAGAAGAGAGTATGGAAGGAAACTTGACTTGGGGTAGTGGACACACAGTACAATATACAGGTGACATATTGTAGAATTGCACACCTGAAATCTATATAATTTGTTAACTGATGTAACCCAATAAATTCAATAAAAAATAAAATAAATAAAACCTACTTTTGTTTGTTACTATGATTAATAAATAAGAAAGATTCCCTGACACACACAAAAAATGTATTAAGTAAATTATACTCTCTTTTCTAGTCTTCTTTCACAGAAAGAAGAACTGATCCTGAACTCTTGGTTTAGGTGTGTGACTCCATGTGTGTTGACTTGTCTGCTCCCCATTAAGATATAAAATATTCTCCCAATGAACCCAATATTCGCTTGGTAAAGGAGTTAGGAATTAAAATTGGGAAACTGAAAATCTGTCTGGAGAGATCCCCCCCCCCCCAATATCTAATCAGTATTGGGATCAGTCAAATAATCACTTAGACCACTTCCTGCCTTAACTATGAGCATCAATGCCAGATTGTTATTAAATGTGCATATCGAGTGGTTTTCACAGTGTGGTCCTCAGAGCGGCAGCATCACCTGGAACCTTAGTGGACATGCACTTTAAACCCCACCCACACCCTGGAAGCAGCAAGAACAGGGTGGAGGATGCACTGCAGTGCATCCCAGTGAGTCTCCCGGGTGACGCTGCTGCATCCTCAGGTGGAGAAATGCTTGTGACCATCTCTGAGCCTAAGTACTAAGGCATGAAATGTAATTCATTCAGTGACTATATCCTTACAAATGAAGTACCTCTACACAGTACATTTTTAACAAGTCCAGTAAAATAATTATATTAATGGAAGGTTAATATGCACACTGCACCCTGGACTGCTAGTTCAACCAGGAGTTTGACCAAATGGGAGGGCCAGCCAGCCGGCCAATTGCTCACAACCCCTCCTCCTGGTCGGCCATTTGGACCCCACCCATGCATGAATTAGTGCACTGGGCCTCTAGTGCATATTATAATGGACAGACTTTCCAAGCATCCCTCCAGAGTCTGTTACCTGTGCTGCCTTTTATCCAGGTTTCAGAAATGACATTCCTGCTGAGTGTCTTCAGATGGTCATCTGTCAGCTGACAAGTTAAATCTGGAACTGTTTTTAGCATCTTCCACACGGTCTTGTGTTCATGCAGTTTTCTGTAAATGGGCCTTCAAAAAGGAGACAGATTGCAAATTGAGAGATCTCAGCATAAATAGAAAGATACAAACAAACAAAACATTCTTGATTTGAGCTTCCTAATTTGTATTTTCTATTTATTTAAGGGTTGCTTAAGGACATCTGTGATGATGTTTTTTGTATGTTTGTTTGTTGTTTTTTGTTTGTTGTTTTTTGTTTGTTTGTTTTACCAACATTCAGATGCATCTCCAAGAAACTAAATTTTTAGGAACTGCTGTACCTCTTCTTTGCAGAAAACTCGGTGCTTCACGGTAAGGTTGTACCTTTTGCTGCTCTCCCACTTTGCATCACTGAGCTTCCTGGTGAGTAGATGATGCTTTTCACCAAATTGGGAAGTTCTTGGCCACCTTGTTTCACACATTCTCTGTACCTTTCCTCTGAGCCCCTCCTGTTCCCGCTGCCCCACCTGCTGCAGCTGCCCAGGCTCTGGACCTGCTTATACTGTTTCTTGTTTCTCTGTCTCTTTGACTGCATACTCATAATTGGTGTATCTGCAAGTTTGCTCCTTCCTTCTGCCAGTTCAAATCTGTTGTTGATCCCCTCTAATGATTTCTTTATAAAATTCAATCATTGTAGTTTTCAACTCCAAACCTTATTGGCTCTTTTTATTATTATTCTTTTTTTGGCAGTTTCCATCTCACTGATGTTATGTTTGTGGTGAGAAATCATTGTCACACTTTAACTCTATCATCTGTACAATCTCTGGTGTGCAGCGACCTAAGCTTGTCTCTCCTAGGCCCTCATACTATTGGTCAGAAATGTCGTTCAGCCTGAACCCCCATGACCCCCAACTTTTGCTGATGAACTGGTTGTATTGTCATATTTTCTTTAACTTGTTAGACAGGGTTTCCATTATTTCTTTGAATATATTCATAATAGTGACTTATGAATATATTTTGAATATTTCATAATAGTGACTTAGTAGACAAAAATGGATTTTGTCTACTAAGAATCAATATATGAATTCCTGAGGACACTGTTGGCTATTGACTGTTATTTTCCTATGCTTCATCATTTTTGTTGAAAACTGAACATTTTCGGTGATATGATGTGGCAACTCTGAATAAAACGTTTCCTCCTCCCCAGGTCAAACAGCAGCAATGCCTGTGCAGGGCCCTTCCCAGGGAGCTTGGGCTGAGTCTGTGGTGATGCTGACACTGGTGGGGCTTTTCCAGGCTCTGGGCCATCCTGCCCCTCAGGCTGCAGACTTCAGCTTCAGATCTCACAGAATTGTCCCTTGAGACACCAAGCTGCAAACCTTACTCTTCTTACCAAGGTTCAGACATTTTTCTTGAATAAATTACTTCTTATATTGTTGTAGAAATTTTATTAATTTTAAATTTTTGTCAACATTTTCCTACTTCTGTGAAGGAGCAGATATGCACAGATCCTCACTCTATCATTCTGGAAGTCCTATACTCCACAAAGAATTTTTTTTAATTGAATTTATTGGGATGACATTGGTTCACAAAACCATACAGATTTCAAGTGCACAACTCAACAAAACATCATCTGCACACTGCATCTTGTCCCCAATACCCAAAGCAATATCTTCCCATCCCCATTTCCCCCACCTATACCCGCCTCCACCCCTCCCACCCTTTTTCCTCTGGCTATCACCAACTGTTGCCTATGTGTGATATAAATATATATATGTTTTTTGCTTAAGTCCTTCACATTCTTTCACCCACTTCCCCACTTCCTCCCCTCTGACAGCTGTCAATCTGTTCCATACATTCAGGCCTGTGTTTCTATTTTATTCTTTTTTTGATGTTGTTGTTCCTGATATTCTATATATAAGTGAGGTCACATGGTATTTGTCTTTCTCTGACTGGTCACACAGAATCTTAAACCCTCTCCTCCAGAGGGGTATGTGTAATCCCTCCCACCCCTCAAGGTCAATATATATTTCAAGTGCCAACAAAAAGAGCCAGGGAAGTGCATGCGACCATTGGTGGTGGGACAATCACACATATTTGGTAAAAACACTACTAACAGATGAAATTAGGAGAAATGATGTTTCAAGCCTGGCTTCACTCAAAAATTATAGCTCATAATCATTTTGATAAGTGAATGGGCTTATAATTTACATATTCTGATGAAACATGAAAAACATTTCCTAAAATTCACCTAGTTGCTCTGGAAATCCTATTCCTAATACGTTATTATTTTTCAGTCTCCTTCTGCCTTTCCTATAGTAAAAAACTTTCAAATATCTAGCAACTATGTTTGGACTATGAAGAAGTAGGCAGAAGGGTGGTAACTCACAGCACCCCACCTCCATGCCACCATTTCTTGTTGGCTTGCCACTGCCCCATTCCGATACTGATCTGAAGGGTTTCCCAGGCTCTAACCTGATAAGAGATCTGAATTTTCCAGAGTTTCTACCATCCACTCCTATTTTCCATACTCGGAATGGTAATCAAGACCTTCAGTCTTAAAACTTGGTCTTGATGTCCTCTCTCTAACCACGACTTTCCTTCACTTGTCCCTCAATTGCTGCCTCTGTTATTTGGCAGGAATTCCTTTACATATGTCACATCTACTCCTTCCTCACCGCCTCCTTCTGGTCAATTCCTAATACACAAATGCTGCAGTGAAAGGAAGTAGATAAGCTAAAAACAGCTTCCAAAGAAGGAAGTAATGCTGATCACAAGAAAGCCTTATTCAGAGACTTGCCTCAGGCCCATGAAGGTCTTTGCACATGACACTTTGGAGCTGGTGATTGTTTTACTCTTCTCATTGGTTTACAAACATCAAAGAAAACATCTCTGGTCTCTTCATCAAACAATCACATTTTAATTGGAAGTGAAGACATCTGGGGATGGAGCAGGTTCATATACTTGAAAGGCTCTCAAATTAAAGATGGGTTACGATGGTTTTTGTCTAACAATTTGAGTAGAAATTATAGAGGTCTTTTTTCTAATTAAAAAGTACAATTAAAAGATTAAACACAATGTGAAAGATCTGTGGGGAGTTATACACAAATTTCCAGTGTTAGCTCCCTCCCAAAATCCTTCTGCTGGTTGAGTTCTTACTTTCTTCTAATATTGGATAAAAATAACAACCACCTAGGAGACACAGGAGGCCCCCTCTTATATGCTGGAAGAACTTGACACGTCCCTGAGAACTGGGGGACGTTTATACTTCTCCGTTATTTCTTTTTATTTATTTCCACTGAGTGCTTACTCTCTGATGCACTAGTAGAAGCAGAATTTGCTGTTGTCAGTTTTCTTTTGTTTCCTTATAAACAATGTCTCATAGTTCCTACATGTAAGATTTGGGTCTGCTAGAGAATACATTATCACTTGCCTTCCATGTTAATACTTTTACGATTGTTACCATGTGATTCCTTATATAAGAGTTGCAAGAACAGTGGTGTTCACACACACACACACACACACACACACACACACACACACAGTTATGGCCCCTTTGTTCAAACTGAATCTCACATGGGGTGTACATACATAAAATCAATGAAAGCAGAAATCTGCCGTGTAAAGAAAAAGAAGGAAGGTCGGTTCCACACAAGACCGCATCTCCCTGCATGTACAGCCGAGGGAGCATGGGAAATCCACAGGCTCCTGTGAGATCCCATGAATTCCCAGGGGCCTGCCCACAGGACATTCTATTAAGGAGTTGATTTCCACTATGTTTTATTTTCTGTGTGTTATCATACAATTACAAGGAATCACATTGTCTAATGCAATCTCCACTTGTAAATGAGAAAGCTGAAGCCTAGATATGCTGAGTAACTTCCCAAACTCCCATTAAACAAGTTTTGGGGACAGGATTTCACCTGGGGGACCCCACACCAAGCCCAGTCTCCCATCCACTGGCGCTGCACTAAGTCACACCTTCACAGGGTGACCTTCACTGACGCAGAGGGGCGGAGGTGAGTCAGAGCGGGGACTGCTCCAGGTTTTGTTGTCTGACACATAGAACAAAATATTTTCAATAGAACTCAGATTTACAGGTCAAGTGTTGGTACAAATGTGCGTGTTTCAAAAGATAAGGAAGCACAACAAATCACCAATTTCTAAGTCCTGAAAAGTTTTACAGTTCTTCTATTAATTAGTTGCTTATGGACTTCCATTATATTTCTATTTTTAAGTATTTTTTCTGTGTTTCTTACCAATTCTAACAGTTTAAGCTTCATTGCCTTCAGGTTAAATTTACCTCTAAGTCAAGGCTGAGTTATTGAGCAAAAAACAAAAGAAGAAGATGGGATTCGTAATCAGGGTGGATTTGAATCTGGAGTGAAAAGAGGGAGGAAAAAGCATGATGTGAGAAACATGGAGCAAAGTAGAAGGAAGAGCCCGAACTGGAGGCCCCACAGGAATTCGCTCACGTTGAAAGTTTGGGGGGAAATGGTGGCAAGGACAGTGTGGGCCACCAGCTGTGAACAGAGCCCATGGGAGTCTGCAGGTTCGGCTACATCTGTCCCCAGTACCTGCAGTGTATACCAGGCTCGTGAGTTCCTCAAGGGCCCCCCAAACCGGCTGGAACCAGATGGCCTATGATGGGGACACAAATATTTTCAGAAATTGCACAACTGAAGTCCTGGCTGTTAACAGATGTAGAATATTCAATTAAATCGTCTGTGATCCACAGACTAGCAGGATAGAAAATCCAGCTGAAAATGTTGCTTTCATTAAAGGATGCCAACTGCACACTGTTGGCCCTTCAGTGCTCACATAGCAGCACTTATCCTTTATAATAAAAGCCTAATATGCTAAGTGTCTGGTAGGCCAGTCAGCCATTCAACCAATCAAAGAGTAATATGCTAATGATATACTAAGGCCGCTCAACCGCTCACTATGATGTGCACTAACCATCAGGGGGCAGACAGTTGACCAGTAGGTGAGCTTGCTGCTGGGATCCAGACGATTGGGACTGAGCGAGGTGGGCCAGACACTCTGGAGCTCTCTCCAGCTGGCCAAACTCCCACATCCCTCTCCGGTCCCAA